GGAAATATTGGCCCTTGGTCATTTTTATAAAGACCAGTAGCTATATGCTCGGTCCATACTGTCACAACCTAGGACCAATATTCCCCAGTGCTGCCCTCACGCTTGGTTAGTAAAAGGTTAGTATGCCACGAAAGAACGTTGAATAACTATTTTATACCATGCCATAGAAAATACAGTGGCATGATGGGAAGGTTGGATGAAATGCCATCGAATATACAATGGCTTTCCTGTATTCTGATTGGCTGTATTTTCTATGGTACAGTATAAAATACAGTACATAAATAACCAAGTAACACATAACCCATTACTGACTAAGTAACACGGTACATAACTAGCTGAGTAAAGTAAGACTGACTAAGTAATACTAAATACTTTTTAACTGAGAGTGGGGTCTTTACAGGAAAATCTCAAGCCAAGCCCTCGCCATGTTGGCCGAGCAATAGCCTGGTCAATACAGCAAGGTTGAGGTGTGAGATTTTCCCGTTGAGACTGAATGTTCAAGGTTTTTTAAAATAAGTTGCTTGTTAAATGGACTTTCTGCTTTGTTTTTGTAGGTCTGTAATCGCCTGTTGGGTATTACCGGGAAATAATGCCCTAGAATTAGCCAATTAGAGTGTGCATTAAATCAGCTTCAAACACAAGCCATATAGTAAATTACATAACTAACTGAGTAATACATAACTGACCAAGTAATACATAATCCTGGGGTGGGTACTCCCAGAAAAATTGGGTGTGGTATGCTTCCCAAAACTCTTACCCAATTTGTGACCTCACCAAAAATTTGATACCCTCTCTATGACCTGGCCCTATCAATAACCTGTTTCAGACCTGCCTTATAATTAGTTCCCTAGTTCAGACCAATGTTAAATTGTCATTAACATAATTTATGAAGGGCTTTTGTTGATGGTAATCGATAATGATTAAAAAGTAGCTTCCCCTTAAAAACATACCCAATTCAAGGCTTAAGAGTGCAAAACCATATCCATAAGTGGCCAAAACTGATACCCTATTTATGACCAAAAGAGCTGAAAAACCCTACCTTTTGGGTGCATACCTAAATAGCCAAGGTATCTCGGTACCACCACCCACCCCTACCCCTAGTACATAACTAACTGAGACAGAGTAATAGAAAACTGACCAAGTAATACAGTACACAACTAACCGAGTAATACAAGACTATAAATATATAAGTGAACAAGTATTAATACAGTACATAACTAATTTTGTAATACATAACTGACCAAGTAATACAGTACACAACCAACCAAGTAATACATCACTGACCAAGTACCATAGTACAAATTAACTGACCGAGTAACACATAACTGACCAAGTACTACAGTACATAAGTTACATAACTGACCGAGTAATAACTGATCAGATAATACAGTACATAACTTAATAAACCGAGTATTAAATACCAACTGCATGACCAAGCAATTACACCCGGCAAATTATACAGTACAAAACTCACTTCAAAAATTTATTTCATCTTGCTTTGATCTACGCAATATTCTACTTCCAAATCAAACCAGTGTAACTTGATTGCTATATCACAACATTATTATACGATCACGATAATCGTTACCGTTTTAGTTTTAATTTACAAAAGCTTTTGCAACACTGTATGTATTTATGGTCATGCAAATAGAGCTACAATTGTGGTTGTTGTCTGTTCACTTTGACACTGATAGAGACGTACGCAAGCTATAGGAGTAGTAAAGAATTGACCAAGTAACACCGCGCCGTGATGACCGAGGAATACACACCTAACCGGGAAATAACTACACAACTTCCTGAATAATGGCGATACACGAGCGATATTAAATAGTTCTGAAATAAACTAGAAATACTTAGAATTCTCGACCCGTCGGGTAGTTTTGAAATAATCAAACGACGCCAGACATGAGGCAAACCCGTTCACTTACCTCAGGGATCATGAAAAGAGTTAAAAGTGATTCCCTTGTCATCAGATTTTAGTCCCGATCAGGATTTATCCCTTACTCCATTTTAGCCGGCCCTGAATATATATTGAGAGCTCCGGATACTGAACGTGCTTTCCAATGACCCGTACAACCACCTCTCAACAGACTACCAAAATAAACAGAATACCAATTAAGGGGGAGTTAATGTAAGTTATTTACCCACGAATTTGCCCAGGGCAGGTTCAAAACTGCAACAATCATTGAAATGTCGCTCAGGTAGGGTTGTTAAATAAAGAAATGCTCATCACAGTGTCACCATCACAGTATCAACGCTGTTCTAAGCCTGTGGCACGCCCCTGACTCACCC